AATACTCTGTAGAACTCATTTTTGTCTTTAAAAGCTTCTAATACCTTTTATTATATACAACGTGTGTATATCATGTGTTCAGCTAAAGGAATGTTCACAAACTGAACACTGGACGTAAAGGGAATAATCCTAGTGCAGAAGTCCCCTGGTGCGCTTTTTGTCACTGGTTACCCCCCCCCCAAGGGTAACAAACACAGTCCTTGTTTTTAGGTTGAGACAGGGTCTTGCTATGTAATTCAAACTGGATCTAGAACTCACAGACTGCCAGTGAACTCGCAGCACTGCTTCTTCCTCAGCCTCCTAAGGCTGGGATTACAGTCCTGCCCCACTATGGCTGGCAATGGTCCTGCCTTCTAACAGCAGAGATGAGATTTTACTTGTTTTTATAGCTCCTATAAATCAGACAGTATCTTTCATTTTTATGTCATTTTATTTGCTTTAACTTGTTTGTGAGATTCGTGTTACATGTGATTATAATCATTCTTTCTCACTGCTGTACAGTATTCTATTGTATGAATTCTCTACACTTTCTCTATCCATTTCACTACTGACAAGCACGTAATTTCCAGGTCGAATATTACAAATACAAATAGCAGAGCTTTGAATATTTCAGTATTTTGGAGAACAGGCACACATAATTACTGTTGGGTATTGTTAGGGACCTAATGTGTTTCTCTCCACCCACACGCCGATATTTGTATGTCAAAGGCCAAACCCTCAGAGCAAATGCATTTGGAAACAGGTTTTGTGAGATGATAAAGGTTAAATGAGGTCCTAATGTGGAGCGCTAATCCAATAGGAATAAGAAGACAAGTATTTAGCATGTGGGTACAGTAATAAGGTAGATGACAGTAAGCCACAAACAAAACCCTCCTCAGAAACTCAACTGGCTAGTATGTACCTTGATTTTAAGATTCTTTAGCCACTAGCAACTGTAGTAAATAACTTTCTGTTTTTTAACCCATTCAGTGCATGCTATTTTATTTTGTATCAGTATCTTCATGCCTTATGAATAGAAGCTGTAAATTAGACTGTCCAAGTCAGGCACCAGAGTGAGTCCTGTAATCCCAGCTGCTTGGGAGGCTGAGGGAGGAAAATTACAAACTCAAGGCCAGACTAGAAACCACAGTGAAACTCTATCTCTAGATAAAACACGAGTCAAAATATATAACCCCAAAATGTTTCCTAAAGTGATTGTCAATTCCATTCCATTTCCTCTACTTTGAATAAAAGTGACACTTAGTATTTTCTGTCTTTTCTACTTTAGCCATTCTGGTAGATGAATAATGCTATTACAAATGCAGCATTTTTCACATGTTCATCGGACACCCAGACGGCCAGGTATTTTCCTTTGTGATGTCCACTCAAACGTCTTTTTTATTGTTGGCCTGTCTTTTCCTTAAGAATTTGTGGCGACTATGCAAGTGAGATACCAAATGCTCATCAGGGATATGTATTTCAAATTTCTTATAACCTAGGGAATACTCATGAGTAAAGAATGATCTACCATCTACAGCTCTCTTTGGAGGAACCTCTTACCTTAGAAAAGACAGGGAGTAACTCTGGATTGGGGAAAACTCTCACTTGTGATGAGGTTTACCCAAGACAGCGTCTTGCAACAGACATTTTCTGTTCTCTAGCCCTTTTCCCAAGGTTGCATGATGAAAAAATGCAGTGAGTCTACCTAATACCTGGTTCTCTATGTCAATGTTTTCTTTTTTTCCTGGTACTACTGAACTATACTCTTAGACCCTATGAAAGTGATTTGTATTTTATATGCCTACAGCTTCTCAGACACACTGTATTCCAGGGGTATTCTATGTTTAATTCAAATTTCACTTAAAAAAACAGATTTTGTATCATCGAAAGGGATATAATGCCAACATTTAACATATTGCAAAATGCCCTCACGTTAATTTGAGGTTAAGTCAGCTTAGTATGGCCCTCATAATCTCTTATTTCCATATTTGTGATTAAAACACATGCCCAGATATCAAGTTGTATCACTTAAAACTATGTATTCTTGTCTCTACTTCTCCAGAGGGATAAGGACTTTCTTAGTAATACACAACCAAAACAAAAGATGCCAGCAGAAATAAGCTGGATGCTGAAGCTATAACTGCAACTGTTGTCTACAACTAAGTTCAACATTGAGTTGCAAGCTCAAAACAAACAGAGTTGGGAGTCTTGCTACCCCTGACATCGTTAGGAGACTAGTTTCTGGTGGTCTTATCTATGTCTTTACTATGCAGACTCCCTGGTTTCTGCCCATTTTCTGACTTGGTTCTGTAGACTCCATATTTGTTATTTTACCACTCATTATCCTTACAATAAGCCCCCTTTCTGCTCAAAACAAAACCTAAGAAAAGAATAAACCAGCATCACTTTTCTCCCCCTTTGGCAGTACTGGGGATTGAAACTAAGGCCTTCACCAAGCTGCATCCCTAGCCCCTTTTAATATAATTTTTTTTTTAATTTTGAGAGAAGGTCTTGCTCAATTTTTCAGTCTGGGCTCAAACACGCAATCCTGCATTGGTCTCCCAAACTGACAAGATTTTAGGTGTGCACTGTCATGCCTGGCTATATTCTTTTTTATTTGTATATGAAATTAAAATTTTAAATTTGAACTTAAAATGTTTAGAAATAAAGTCCAAGTTTTAATCTTTATAATAGGGTTCTGTGACAGATTTCGAAAAAGGATTCTTTTTTTTTGAGACAGGGTCTTGCTATGTAAGTCAAGCTGGCCTCAAACTCATGGCAATCCTCCTGCCTCAGTCTCCCAAGTGCTGGCACTGCAGGCATTGTGCTACCACACCCAATTCAATGCTCTGTAAAATTTTTCATCTGAAAAAGCACAGCACTGCAGCGCTTTCCTGTTCCCTTTCACCTAAGCCTGTGATAAACACATTATGCTTCCACTTAGAATTTTTAAAACTTTTATCTAATAGCGAATTCTATAAGGTACAGTTCAAATTATTTGCATGAATAAAAATCCCCTCAAGATCTGGCTTATGTTAGTAGGCACTCCATCACTGTTGAATTAATCAATAAAACCCAAAAGTATAAAAACTAGCCACATTATCCTACATTCTTCAATTTTCAGCAATAATAGTTAACCGCTATATGGTGTTCATATACAACTACCTCATTTCCTTAATATCTGTTATAGATTAAGACTGGTGGTCAACTTAACGCCAGCTGGATTACATCAGCATGGGGCTAAGCATAGATGTTTCACCTGAGGAAAGTTGCCAGAATAAACAGAGACATGGAGAAGGAGAAGCTATTGCATTGAGGCATTGTGGGTTCTCCTGGTGAGTTGCTGTTTCAGCTGTTGGTTCTCCTGGAGAAGCTCTGGTCCTCCCATTGAGCATTGCTTCCTGACTCCAGAGAGGAAGACGTGTGCCACTTGGTCTCCAGGATGAACTCATCATGCTGGCTTCCTGGCATGTACTCAACTGTGCTTGTTGGAGGAGGAGTTGGGGGGCTTCTGTGTCACTGAGGATGGCTATGGAGCTTTTCAGGACAGCCCTGGTCTTTGTTGTGAGTGTGACTTCTAGGCTCCAGCATAGAACCCTCAACCTACAAGCACAGCTCCTTCACCCTGCTGGCATAGACTTCTTGGCTTCCACTGCTGACCTTTGAGCCTTCCCAGCACAGATCCGGAAAAGAGACTGGTGTGAGTCCTTGTGGGCTTTAGCCCTCCAGTTGGACTCGTGGAAGGCACTGTCTCGAGTGCTGGATCTTCATCTGGACTCACGTGGGACATTGCTGTGGGATTCAGGCCCTTGACTAAATAGTCTGTCTTTAGTGTTGTGGATAGATTTCCTGCATTTTCTTGTGTTAACTGCGGGTGACCATCATAAAAGTAATATAATCTCCATGTCCTGTTTTTAATTGTTCTCTGCAGAACCCCAGACTACAACAACATCCTTTCCAGACATTTGTCTGTTTTTTGAAACAGGATCTCTTTAATAGTTCAAGTTGGCCTTTAACTCATGCTCACAGCAATCCTCTAGAGTGTTGTGATTTCCGGTGCGGCTACCATGCCTAGCTTATCCATACACCTTATGTACACATGACCTTTCCAACAAAGTTAAAAAAAAATAAATGTTTCTTCTGAAAGCAGGTGTTATAGAAGTTAATACCTCAACACGTGTAAAGTCTGAAAAAAAGGCTTTCCTAAAGCAACAGACTGTAAGTAACTAAGAACTATAAAGGTTGGTAACTACCAAGATTCTGTTCTGGTGCTTAGCAGGTAGATGTCTCCACACATCTGCACTGCATTGTGCGATACAGTGGGTCACTTTTTAAAAACAAACTTCATCTTGAAATACCTAGGTCTTATTTCTAGACAGTGAACAGGACAACAAAGACGTAAACACAAAACCCCCAGCACTCTAGGAGGCTGAGGAAGGAAAACAGCAAGTTCAAACCCAGCCTGGGCAACTCGGAGACTTGGCTAGATCCTAGCTAAATTTTTGTTTTGTTTTTGTTTTGTCAAAAAGAGCTGGGAATACAGCTCAGTCAAAATATCCTGGGTTCAAGCTCCCGGTACAAAAACAAACAAACAAATAACCAACAACAACAAACCGAAGTACTCTCTGATGCCTACCAGCCAATATAAATCTGAGGTCTTGCACCAACTTCAACTAAGAGTTTCAGCGAAGCCCAGGATGGGAGGAAAACTTAAGCTATTTGTTTTACTCCCTAGTTTTCTTATACCCAAAGTGATTTTAAAACAAAACAAAACAACCCTCCATGAATCCCTTCCCCAGCCCAAGTTACTAAAAATTACCTGAAGTTCCGGGTAACAACCTATCAGCGGAGGTGTCCTCAAGCCTTGCGCGCGTCGCTCCTTTCCCTTCTAACCCCGCACAAGGCCACGCGATCTTCAGTGCGCACGCGCCGCCGTGACCCGGGTCTCCGTGCACTCGCGCGCCGCCCGCTGGGCGGTCCCGGACGCCCGCCGCGGGGTATGGCTGGGGCACGCGCACGCGCGCTGCGGAGGTCCCGCCTCCTCGCCGCGCGCATCCTTGCGGCAGCCGCGGGCGCTGCCCTGCTCTTTTCAGCGCGCCAGGCCATGGAGCCCTTGCGGAGGGCCCACGAGGCCGTGCTGCGCCTGCTGCTGTGGGGTCCCTGGGCCTCCGGCACCGCCTCCCGCGCAAAGCCCCGCGCCTCGGAGGTGCTGACGCGGCACCTAGAGCAGCGGCGCCTGCCGCACTGGACCTCCTTCTGCGTGCCCTACAGCGCAGTCCGCAACGACCAGTTTGGCCTCTCGCACTTCAACTGGCAGGTGCAGGGCGCCAACTACCACGTCTTGCGCACCGGTTGCTTCCCCTTCATCAAGTACCACTGCTCTAGGGCGTCCTGGCAGGACCTGGCCGCGCAGAACCGCTTCTTCACAGCGCTCAAGGTCGTCAACTTCGGTGAGTGGGGCGGCCGCTGGCCCGACCCGGCGACGCGCGGGTCGACCCTCGCGTCCCGCCGAGGGCGCCCCACTGTCCACAAGCACTGACGAAGGATCGCGCTCAGGCCCGGGGCTCACCCAGACCAGAGCCGGGGCACAGGGACCCTAGAGTACCCCGTGGGATCCGCGACGCTGCCCGGGCCCACCCTGGACTGGCTGGCGGGCGGCTCGGGTCCATTGTGTCTCCCAAGGAGTAGTTGTCCATCACCCCCTACTTCCACCCCAAAGTGGACTTGCCCCAGGACATCCCTCATTCATCACCCCAGGGGAAAGGACAGGCCACTCTTCCTCCTGCTGTGTTTCAAGGCAAGACAACCCCCTCACCACCCCACCGTACCCCACCCCCAGCAGTCGGGAAGGTGTCAGGAAACGTCCCCATGCAAGGGAAAGTGGCTCCAAAATCAAGAAGTGGCTTAGGGTATAGAGCAGGATTCACCCCCAGGAACATCGTAGTGTTTGACCTGACCAAAAAAACAAACCGGAAACTACTTTTTAAATTTGTTTGGTTTTTTTTGTCTAGGATTTAGCTCAGCGGCATAAGCGCCTGCCTTTGCAAGCAGGCAGTCCTGAGTTCGATCCTGGTACCGATAAAAAGGAAAAAGACACACACGAAAAAAAATTTGTTTGGTTTTTTTATGTGAAATCCCAACAAATTTGTCTTAGTAAAAGTATTACAGGTTTTCCACCAGACATATTATCTTCCTTGAGTGCTAGGCTTGTGAAGTGTTTCAAAAGAATCTCCCTCTTTTAACACGTGTATTTTTCCTGGAAATATTCTAATTCTCAAGAGTACTCTCTGGATGTTTATTTTCTTTTGGTGTCGTGATTGAAGAGACAGGAGCAAAGGACATGACATTTTTCATAGGTCAGAGAAAAAGGCCTCAAGATGTTTTGAACCTATTAATAGCTTATAGAAAAGTCTAGATTTCAGTAATTCACAATCTAGAGATGGGAACTGAACCATTTAATCCAACCAGTGTTTTGAAGCCAGAATTAAAGCTAAGTCATGTGCAGCTATACTAGTATTGTATGATCTGATAGCCTATTAAATGTGGCACATGTATTTTGCTTATAATAACGCACATATGTCACTTAGGGGTTTTTGAGCCCTGGTTCCTACTGAGACTGTCCTGCACTCAATCCAATAAAAGGAAGATCATTTAGCAATTTAATCCTTTCAAAATAGGCCTTATTGTTTGACTGATACACAAAATAAGGCCACCAACTTTGACGTTTCTGTGGAGTTGAGAGGTGATTTCAAAAACTCAAAATTATTTGGAAAGACTGAAGTGATGACTGAATTGCAGAAGAATAAATTTATGTTAACATTTTCAGAATCAGAAGAAATCGGTCTTTCTCAAATGCAGTAATAGATTAGGAGGAAAAGTAGTGTAGTGAGGGGTTTTAAGTAAACTATATGCGCTGAGAGACCTTTTCCAAAAAAAGTCACAATTTAGAACTTGGTGTTTTAAAATCAGTTTAATGGTTAGAGATTTCTCTTCAGTATAGATGTTAAAACACTCCAAAAAAGTAGTATACCAAAAACATTTCCCACATAGAGAAGACCTTTTGAGAAAAGAAAGAATTCCATCCCCTGTCATTTTTTTATGTGGCAGCATTGAGTAATGACCTGTATGATCTTTTTGGAAATTCTAAAAATCTTCCTTAAATGGAAAAAAGAATTTTAAGTTAAGCAAATGGAAAACTTTTTGCTTGTGCATGCTTTAATACAAATTGTCTTACACTGATAAAAGGAATTTTTTTCCTGGACTTTTTCAAGGCTAGTGTATCACTAATTTGGTAAGGTTTATTTTGTATTTTTTCCTTGTGGAAGGGAATGTGAATTTGATAATAGCATCCTTTTCTATTCTGTGATGTAGATTGCTCCTCTAGATCATCAAGTACATGTTCTATTAATTAGAGTAAGAATTTTATTTCTCTTCCCTTTCAAATTAGTAATTATCAGAGTAATTCATTTTTTCATTTTGTAAATAATAAAGATTTCTGTTTACCCATTTGTTCCTTTTCTCCTTTGCTTTCCCTTCAAGGGGAACTCACATTTTACTGATGGTTTATCAGTCTGAGTATCCTGCTGGGAAATAGATTGAGATTTAAGAAAAGCAACTTACCACTGGAATGAATGGGTAATCAGAGACTTACTACAAAGTTCTAATTTTTTTTAAGTGCTTAATTTGACAGTGGTTTACCTACTGTTCAGCTGGCTCAAAATGAATTATTGTGCAAAGAACTTATTTTCAAGTTCATTTTGCTATTATGTTTCAGATAGTCTGAGAAATTTTTAATTTTCATAGAATCTCAAAGTCTTTAAAAGATATGTCCTACATATAAAGAATATATATATATATATATATATATATATAAATTGTAGAGTTGGCAAATCTTCCCACTTGGTGTTATTAGTCTGACCACATTGCATAAATTTCTGACTCCCATATCAGAACTCTATTGCCTGTCATGGAGCATTACTGAAAATGATTTCTACTTGTTTCTTAATAAAAGATTTTATAGTTATTATTAAACTAAAAATACTAGTCTACCATTTTAGCTGAAAAATATTAGCTATTTTTGTGATTTTTCACAAGTATAAATTTCTTAAAGTAGCAATGTTTTAATTGGATGCTGTGATATTATAAAACATACAAAATTCTCATTGTCACCAGCCATTCCTTAAATTTGTATACTTGCTTTTGGTTTCAAAGGGATGTTTTATGTATTTTACACTCAGTATTTTTAGAAAATTAATAACTGCTTCTAGAGCCTATTTTTCTCTTCTTCATCCCATTGATTTTCAGTTTTTGGATCTGTGACATTGCATTTTAAATTTATTTTTTATTTCAACTGCTCCCTATAGTTCTTCCTCACTTTTGCCTATCTTGTTTATGTTCTTTTCTTGTTCACTTCCTACCTCACCCCTGTGCCTTTTAATTTTTTGAATAAATGATTTATAAGTAGCTTTTTTTATCTCAGCTTTTGTGCTTTTTTTTTTTTGCATGTGGCATTTCCTGAAGTATTTAGAGATTCTTCTGAGCATTTTAAAGCACAGAAGAAAAAATCTATAAAGGGTTCACAGGAGTTCTAGGGAAGCCTCAGATAATAAACTGTGACCCAGTATATTCTTAAAAATAGCAAAGTGCCAGCCTGAATGAATGTCTTTTCCCTCCTCCTCCTTGTCGCCAGCTGCTGATGCTTCTTCTGGTTAATCTGTGGCATCGCAATGGCTAGAAGACGGCTTCAGGGGTAGTAAGCACAAAGTAGTCCAACACAACTGAACACACTCAAAAAGTGAATACTTCCTTAAAGAAAAACTTAGCCACACGGTCAGTCTTGAACATGCGTTGAGTTCCCTGAACTATAAAGTGATTTTCCAGATGTGCAGCTATCCTTTAAAATTGTCTCTGGCCTTTCCCACACGGGAGCAATAAAATTGATACTTAGGTAGAGTGTACAATATTTGTTATTAACTCATGCACCTGTGGTTTTATGCATGTTTTTCATATGTTAATCTTCACTGATTTTAAATAAGTGCCTCAAAAAGATAGGAATTAGGAAAGTTTGTCTTGTGTCCAACATATAATCGTATGCATATGAGTGCTTAATCCATGTCTCTTGATGGTATTGTGTTTGGTTTTATGTATGACAAGTGGCAATAAATATCAAATAAGGAAGCAAAATTTTACCCAACCATGTGTTAGAATCTACTAATATTTATTCTACATAAGTTGAAACAAGGTAGTTTTCAGTTCAGTTGTAAAAACACAAATACATTAGTATCAGAAAGAAAATATATTGCTTCTTTATACTTGTTACACTAAAATCTTCCTTAGAATAAGGTTTTTTCTTAGGTTTTGAAGACAGCTATTTGACCCAGTTACTTTTCGGATTGTACAGAAATTACTTTATCCATCTGTGTTACTAACTTCTAACTAACTAACAATAAAGTTGACCTAGTAATCTAGCTTAAACCTAGTAATCAGGAGTGTTCACAACTAAATTAATGAATATTCTTTTCCATTTGCTTATCTGTGAAAAGAATTACTTCATAATTACTTCAAGAAAATGAATTGGGAAAGTGCTTTGAATTAATATTTTTGTCAGCCTTACCTATATAGTTTTTAAAAATTTCCAGACCCACATATGAGTAATTGTTCTTAAATAATCATTGTCAGTATTGTATTTTTATATTGCTATAACTTGTTAACACTGGAAGATTGTTACATGATTAGGAGCATGACAAATACATGGGCACATGATTAATAAGTATTGATGTTCACAAATAACATATCCATTTGTTTTCTAGGTATTCCCACTTTATTATATGGACTTGGCTCCTGGTTATTTGCCAGAGTTACAGAGACTGTGCATACCAGTTATGGACCAATAACAATTTATTTTCTAAATAAAGAAGATGAAGGTGCCATGTATTGAAAGTATCCATTAGAGAATACAAATACAGTATCAGTGGGTTTTCTCTCATGTGTATGTGCAATATTTATTTTTGATCCTTTATAATAAAACTTTTACAAATTCTTTTCTTTCTCTGGTGTCTAATTCTTTAAGATGAATCATTGCCCTCAAGAGGCAAAGCTTGTCAAGACATTATTATATAGTGCTTTTCTGTTTTACTAATGGGAACTAGAAACACATGAAGCTTCACACCAGTGTTTCCCAACAATGAGGTTAAACAACAGATAAAAATGATTATTATGTATATAGATTCTATAGTTAGGGGTTAGCAATTTAAATTGACTAAAAGGAAAAAATACAGAGGCCCACAGAAAAAGAAGAGGGGCATATCTTTTTATATAATGTCTGGGGGGAAAGGAAAAAATATCATTGGCAAATCCAAAACTTGATAAGACTAATTGCAGTGTGAAATTTAAATCATTCAGCTGCCAGGATTTTGCATGGAAATGTTTTAAATCTCTTATGCCATTTATCTGTAGGAGAAGGTTGGAATAAAGTGCTGAAACTTTTTGTTGCTTGAAGAAGCTAATGCCATAGTATTTTTAAATGTAATAATAACTCTAGTTAATATAAGTGCAACAAGCTGAGTGAAATTAAGACTTACTAAAAATTAAAATGCATGCCAATAAAGCTATAGGAACAATTAAGTTCTAGAAAGACCGAGAAAAATAAATTTGGCAACTGTTTATAAAAGCAATTAACTGAAATTGTACATATCCATAGCCTTGTTGGCAATGGGGAGTGGGCTGAAATTTTAAAGACTTGATGGCACTTTTGCATTAGAATTTTATTAAGTTAATTGCATTTTTGAAAGCAAAGTCATTTTAAAAATTTATCCTTGGGGATAGTCACAAAATACCCAGGCGAATGGTAAATTTCAGAAATTTAGAGTAATTTAGGGAGAACTAAGTAGAACTATTTAATTTCTAAACCAATGGGTGTTTAAGATTTATGATCTCTCCTATAATTACAAACATACATTATATATCATTTTATGTTAATGTGTTCCTGATTCTCTGCTGCCTTTACACATTTTTGTAGGAAAACATTTTATAAAATTGAATATAACAACACTGGATACTTACTCCTGGCAAGTCAGTAGTGAAAGCAGAAGCCACTGAGGTGAAAGCTCAATGAGGTGAAAGCTCAAAATAATGAACTAATACAAACTGGCTTTCACAAAAGTAATTATTTAAAATGCACTGAGTGTGAACTGCTATTCAAATATATGTAGTATTCACTTGTCTAAATGTAATTCTAAATATCACTTTAATCAAAGAAGTATTTATGCCGATATATTTAGTCCAGAAGAATATACTTGACACCAGTTAAATGGATGGCTTATACGAAGGAGATAGTGTTACATTATGCTTCATTAATAATAAAACTATTAGCATTTTGCAAGGAAAGCTAGAACTGATTTCCTCTATAATGGACAAAGTTAAATAACTATAGCTCATAAGTTTTAAGTCAAATACTGCTCATTCATTGCTGCTGATCTTGTCAATACTTGTTGTAAAGGTTTGGCTCAATAAAAGGCTGATAAAATGGTTTTTAATTACCAGACTATAAATGCAGCTTTTCAGTAAAGTTGTACCTCTTTTCACACTGGCCTGTTTGATTTCTGATAATTTGTACTGCTGACTCTGCTTACCTGTTTTTCAATAGCTAAAATCACTGTGACTTCTTGTCCATATGGTGATAGGTAAGTCTCCTTGGAGAACATCTTTGACAAACTACCAAATTGATCCCTATAATTCTTTGCTGCTTGCAGCATTAAATAGAGCCTTGATTTCTTGTCTGACTTGCTCACTGTGTAACAATTAAGCAAATGTAATACTTTCTTGTATTACATGAAAATCAATACACCTCTTGGCTCTTACAGAGTTGATCATGGTGAAGGATGGACTGAATGATGGTTGAGGGCACAGTTCAAAAATTAAAATATCATTTATTGGATTTATTAAGTTGTAGTAAACCTTTTAGTATGAAAATTGCCTCCCATTGAACAGTAAAGGTTTAAATTGCTTCTTTAAAGTCACATGTATATAGAAGCATTGAGTACTAAAGAAGTAAATTATGAATGCTGAGACTCAGGAGGTTGAGTCTATTTTAAGTGTCAGTGCTATCTTTTTGACCTATGATTAATTACTCCTTTTGTGTCTTGGTTTTTCCACTTATAATCTGAGAACAAAATGACACCTTTCTACCTTAAAATATATCGATTATGATTGTAAGCACACGTGTTTTAGTAAAAACTCTGTGTTTGATATCCACAGTCTGTGTTCCTTGTATTTGTATTTATAAAGGACTTCAATAAAAGAATGTCAGAAATGAGGCATGAGCGAGACAAACTGAAGGCAGTTTTTGTATGCATCTGTGCCATCACTTAGTGACCTAAGGTGGCAAGGAGGGACCTGAGTGGACCTTTCTTCTGGACAACAGGAGTTTCTTGGTTAATGAAAACACTAATTCATATTTGCTGCCTATACTGTAATGGGCTTTTTGACTTTGAAATAATCCAGACAAAACTTTTTTTGATGAAGATGTGTTTTTAGTACAAAACATTACATTTCTTGTTATTCCTATTCAAATCAGTTATCAAATATTGGTAGAAAATTCCTAGTCTCTGTAGGTTGTAAACCACTCTGAAGACACAGTAACACAATTGGGTGTATGAAAGTGGCTACCCTATGGAAAGCCCCGGGTTTTCGGTGTTGGTATCTTAACATACCAAATTGTACAGATACTTAAAATTTCTTTTATTGCACATATTTGACCATTAATGTTTTGTTGTTTACTTCAGTTTTAAAAAAGCATTTTTAATTATTAAAAGCCATATCTATTTTAAGTACATTTTATTTCATGTTATTTCCATTTATGTTCACCCAAAACTGTAAGCACAGAACATCTTTAGTTTTTCATGAAATATTTTTTCCATCTACTAAGGAATGAAAGATGTCTGAATGAGTGGGATGGCATACAAAGTAGGGATCTTGATTTCACTTCACTTAAAAGCGAATGCAGATAACAGAAACCTTACCCTAAAGCTAAGAGATCAGGTGTCCCCTTTGTTTCAGCACTTAGCATTGAGAGACTAATGATGTTTGGGAGCATCTAACCTAAACAAGTACTTAGCATTACATCTCACCTGAGTCAACAGTCTAGGGTATCAGCATTAAACTGTTACTGTAAATTAATGGAAAATGTTACTGCACTTTGCTGAAAGATCAATGTCCAATAAAGGCTGCACAATCAAATCTTGTTGCAATGATTGAGGTCTTTAATTGCCTCTCAAAGATAAGGTGGTAATCAACACAACTTTAACTGATCTTTTTTACTAGTTCAATTACATGCTAATGACTAGTGCCAAGTCAGAATCTTTAACTACTTACATTTATTAAATCTTATACTAATTATGAAAAATTACTTAAGCTACACAATCAATAGAACACAAATCTTAATTACTGTACTTCACTTACATACTATTATATGTGATCTAAAAATGTTTAACAAGTGATCTGACAATAAGAAATGCTATCAGTAGTGACCACAGTCTATAGATGATTTTCCTTACACAAATTTGAACTTATGTTGATTTTTTCTTTTAATAAAGACATAGGTAAAATATTGTTTCCCCTAAAACATATTTGGCCATCCAACTACCCAGAGTTCTGTCATGCTAACGAGAGTACTAATACAAGTGGAATAAAGTAAACCTAAGATGTTTTCGCTGTTCATTTCCAAATATTTCATTAGCCTTTTAGTAAATAAGTGATTCTACATAAAGCCTACAATAGTCTCATATTTTGGAAAATGGTAAAAGTAAAGTCCAAATGAGAAGAGAATATATAGGTAAGTTGAACAATAAAAAGTTTCTATGTTTTGAAGACTGGGATCAAAGTTATGAAGGATGGAGAAAAGGTTCACAAATCATGTATCTGGCAAGGAAAGTACATCTAGTATATATAAAGTGTAAAAACTCAACAACCCAATTGAAACTGACTTTGAAAAGATATTTCTCCAAGAAGACATACAAATAGTTAACAGTGGAAAAGATACCATTCATCATTATGAAAAGGAAAAGTGAAACTTACAGTAAGATACCCTTCATATTCACTAGGATGACTACAACCAAAAAGGTAAGTGTGCATAAGGATGTAGAGAAATTAGAACCTTCATACATTGCTAGTGGAAAGGTAAAATGCATGCAGTTCCTTTGGGAAAGTTTAGCATTTCCTCACGATATTAAGGAGTTAACAACTACCATGTCTACTGCTACCTAGGTACCCTAGAGAATTGAAACTATGGACATACAAAAGCTTGAATATGAATATTGATACAAGTATTATACTAGCAAAAAAGTGGAAATGATGCAAATATTTAGGAACAGATAAGATGTTGCAGTCACACCATGGAATATTAGTCATTCAAAATAAAAGGAATGATATATTGACACATGGTAGAACGTTGATACAAAATTTAAAAACATTGAAGCCAATCAAAAAAGACCACATATTGTATAATTACATTCATAGTATATGAAATATCAAGAATAGACAAATTATAGAGACAGAAGTGGGTGAGTGATTGCCAAGAGCTTGGAAGCGGGGAGAAAGAAGAGACTGACAGCTGAGGAGTAACACATTTCTTTTTGGGATGATGAAACTTTTAAAATTGATTGTGATAGCAAAAATTCCATGACTATTCTCAAATCATTGAATTGTACACTTTAAATGAAAGAACCATATAGCAAATGAACTACAAGCCCATAAAGTTTTTTTTAAATATATGGGGGAAAAGGGAATGCACAGTTAGTGTTTAATTGGTACAATTTTAGTTTTAAAGATGAAAAACATTCTGTAGATGGATGGTGTTGAGGGTTGCATAATAATGTGAATGTACTTACTACTGAACTCTACACTTGAAAGTAGTTAAGATGACAAATGGGTGTATTTCACCACGATTAAATATTAAGCTGGGCACAGTGGCACGTGCCCATAATCTCAGCTATTCAAGAGGCTGAGGCAGGACAATCATAAGTTCGAGGCAGCCTCCGCAAT